TAACAATTTGTTTCACATCATTCAATCATATTTAAAACTGAGTAATGAATATGATGATTATGTGTATAAAAAATAAATATAAATAATATATTATGGTATGACACAGTGGGTCTAAACAAAATAGAAACTATTTAAGACCTCGTTCCTTATTGTTCCTCTCTGAATGGATTTTCCTCCCAGAGGGGGGGGGTGCGTCCAGGACGATGTGTGAGATCGTCCATGGGACGATTCGAGATGCCTTCGCAAAAAGCTGATTGTCTGTAGTGTTTGGAAGTGATTATCTGGACTGGATCGTCCCAGGACGGATTTATGGATCGTACGCTGGGACGATCAGGTGTATGGCAAAAATCCCTCGAGAGCTAAGGGGTCTTTGGCGAAATTATATATACGTCCTGTATCGTCCTACAAATCATCCAGTCGATTGGAAAATTGGTCACTATCGTCCTGGACAGATGTCTCGCGATCGGCCGAGACATCAGACTAATGTATGATAAGCAAAGCAGCTCGTTTGCAGGACAGAAGAGAAAATCATTTTTTTTGTATAAAAATATCTGATTTGAAGAGACGAGGAAAGAGAAGGAAAGAGAAGGGAAGCGGTTTTACGGAGGCCGCGTGAGCGCCTTTTCGTCTCGACGCCGCCTCGTTGGGAAAAGTGTAGATCATCGTGTAAGGACTCCTGAATCGATATTTCTTTGTTCAAAGATATTGTGTTTGATCGTAGGTTGTGTACGGATTTGTGTTTTTTTATCGAAAAATTGACCTGATTTGGTTATTGACACAAATTTTCACGACACACTGTCAACCCGCACAACTTTAGAAATGTTATAGATTATGAATGATTAAGTACACGATTTGAGTATATAGTTCTGCGATGATGTATCCGGCTGGAATTGTATTCTACGCGATTTTATATTGAATAATAAAATACTCTGGATGTTTATGATGATGTGGATGCTATATGTATAATAGTCTTATATGATTGTGTGAACGTCATCTGTTGTAAATTTGGACATTAGTGTTTTTGCAGGTTTTTTTTGTGTATCTCGGTAGATCGTCGTTAGTCGGCCGAAATTTCGTGTCGATTTCTACTTATTCTGGATGACTAGACTGAAAGATTAAATGAAATATTGATATGATTGCTATTGTCAATATGACTATGAATTGGATTATTGATGTGATTAGGTCGATACTGGAACAGCAAGGGGAACTGGTTTGTAACGTTGGTTGGAGATTGATTACCCTGTACAGCTGTGTGGGCCGACGGGCTTTCTTTACACATCGATTATGATATATCGAATGGAGTCATAAGGGAGGTTCCGTATTAGATAGCCGTACGGGCGGCCAGACGGCATAACTCCAAGTGACGTACTCTTTTTATGGATACCAACTATGGATATCTACAACTACATAATATGGATTCTCAACGCAAATGACAGTGATTGATACTATGTCATATATATCGTATTGAACTGCTGTTACTGTATTGGACTTCGGATTTATGCTATTGATTTGATCGGACTTTTACTGATGTATGATCATATCTTTTTATCGCCGGTCGCAGTGACGTTCATATGTATCCGATTGTATGCCGCATTGGAATTACTGACTAGAGGATATAGATATCGGTATTGATTCATGATGCGTATAGATGGATCTGGATATTATATTTTGATAGACTCATATACATATGATCTATTCTATGCACCATTGAGCCTGCTGCATTGTAGCATTCATTGCCTATATAACGATTGAGCTTATTGTACTGCTTTATTGAATCCGATTTCACTTTCTGATTTGATTGTTTGATGATTTGATATCGATGCTATTTGGACAGATGATTGATTCTTCCTGGTCTGATTTTTCGAGATTGCGTATTATATTGAAGTTGTATTATTGATTTGCCGATGTCAGCACTTGATAAACTGATTTTCATTGACTCTCGATTTCATATTGCATAGACTCAATTGACCATTGACTGATATGGATTTGATTGACACGACATGCAATATGATAGCGTGCGTGCTTCGATTTGTTATAGTTATTAGGTGACTGCTGGGCTTGTAAAGCCATTATAGTTTTCAGGTCAGGGCAAGGAGCAGAAGATAGGATATGATCCCGGTTCTACAGTTATTAGTTCTTTGATGATTTTGATTCTTTTGTACTCAGGACATGATAGATTTCAGTATCTGTGGTTTTAGCATAGTTCCTGAGTATTGTACATGAACTTTTGAGATATGAATCGACTTGTATATGGATGTTTTTAATATTATAGATTTTTGTTAGACTGTGTGATTGAAGGCTATAGATGACTCTGGTAAATGGCCGGTGAATTGATATTCTTTCCAAGTTAGATATTGGGGCGTGACAGTAATAATATTGCCATAATCAATCCATCTTAACATGTATGAATTTCAAGTTGTCGACATGTCATCAAGATAATATTGTGTCGATTTAATTGATGGAAGAGGATGCATGTGCAGTTGTGGGAAACCATTATTAATTTATTATACCATATTTTGTGTGTGCGTGTCGTGTGTTATGCGGCAATGTTAAGACAAAGTCATTTAGATTAGGTATCTGAGTAGGGTAGCACATCTTGATGAAGTACGGGTCTTGTAATGTTCTTACTATGCACTTTGATTACTTTTTAAGCATAAACATACTAGAAGCTGCTATCTTTGGCATGTCAGGGCATACATCTTATTTATAATGGGCTGCCGTCTATTTCTAGATAAACCATATTCGAAGATACATTTGTTGTACTTGACTATTATGAAGGATTTGGGGATATTAGGTACATACTCTCTTGGGGGGAGCGGTCCTAGCTCACTTGTATAGGGAGTTGACTAAAGCAACAAAGCATAACATAGCCAATATAATTGAGTGCATACATTTATATATATATTTGGGCTTAGGAGCACCTACATGTTGGTCGACTTGCACTTCATGTTATATTCCTAACATGACTTTGTGGAATGAGTGTTGGATTCAGGTATGAAGTTCAAATAAATATATTTTATTACAAATATAATACACAAAATATTTTCATGCATGTTAGGCTTATTTGAAATAGGTGGAACAAGGATCAACTCCGACAATTTACAGTGGGAAACATTATCAGTTATAGGGATGAGCTGGATGATATACTTGATAGTTAGGTATTTTCAGAATTTTAATGCTTCATTATATGTTGCATAAATTTTAGCGACAAAGTCACTTTTTTTATGTGCAGGTGATTTGGGAGTCGTACACACAGCACATTCTTGCTTTAGTTGCACATATATGTTTGGCAGGTGAAAAGATATGGGCTGCAAGAGTGCCTATGATTAGTTGAAAAAGGGTATAGTAGTGCTTGCCCAATTGAATGCTATGATTGTTCGACTTATCCTATTATTAAAGTCTTACATATGGAGCCTGACTTCAAAAGAGTAAATGGTTGTGGGATAACTAAACATGAATTGGATGTTGTACCATACGACCCACATTTCTATATGGGAGAGCATGCGAGGTTATGTGGTTATCGAGGAGCATTTTAGTGATGTTGTGCATTAGTACTTGCAGTGATATAAGTCATGGGCCACATTATACATGTAGAAGGCACCTGTTGAGCTTCCCATCATGACATACCCATAGCTCCCTTAGAGCCCCTTATGGTATGTAAATATGAAATCTAACATCATGTTAATAGCCTTGAAGTGTAAATTTAATTAATTAATGAAGTTGTTACTATAGAGGTACTTCTTCCTTGGGACTGAGTGAGTTTTGTAACATCACTTCAACGGTACTGGGATACATAGAAGCAGCGAGACATAAATACGGTGGATGAGCTTTGTTGTGTATCGTGCCGACAAATGCATATTGAGGACCAACGATACTTTGATGATGTAGTTGGGCATGATACACCACTCATCATGAGCCAGGATGCTCTTGACCCATATAGTGGATTTCCTAGCCTATCTTCGTATCCTGATAAGGGGCCCTCAGAGGATATCCTTAGTTACCAGGTGCCATAAGATCTACATACTTACATCAGCCCAAATTTTGGTCCTTACACCATCCAAACATCTAACATACCTCAGCTTGAAATTGTTGGGGAGGAACAACATGGGTTACATGAGATACCTCTACGACTGCCACAACACTACACTCCCTGTAGAGATGCATTGCCCTAGAGACTACGTAGGAGGAGTTAGTTGAGCTTATGTTTATACTACATATGATGTTAGCTTTTGATGATGTAAGCTCCTGATAATGTTAGATTTTCATGATGTTTGCTTTTGATGATGTTACCTCCAGATGATGTTAGCACTATCATGGATCATGTATTTGATTATACTTATGTTATGCAATGGACATTTTCATATGTATTTTGCTTTGATAACTTTTATTCATATTATTATTCAAAAATATAATTTTTTAAATAAAGAAGCTAAATAAATAATAATTGAGTTTGATGGAAACATTTGAGTTAAACATTAAGCAACATTACTTGATCACCCAAGTTTAACCTTTGTAGTTGACTAAAGAACAAACGTAATATTTAAAACCCTACATAAAATAACTTGAATATGCAATGGGCAAGGAACGACCTCTGGCACTTACTTAAATATTATAGATATACTAAACAACAAGACAAGACCAAACAAGCTTACATAGCGTACAATATAAGGTTATATTCTCAATTAATAAATCTGCACAAACATGTTTGGAGTTGGCTTTTCGTTGGACAACATTTAAAGGGAAACTCAAACTTGCATTAAGTCTTTGTTATCGAATGCGAGCGAATATCTAACTCAACAATTTTTTGTCGGATGTTAGTCACCCGTTAAACATACGACTTTGACTAATTTTAATTTTTTTTAAGTGTGCTTAAATGATTAACACATTTATTAATTATTTTTAGTTTTAAAATTTTCCCTTATATAAACTATAAAATTTAGTATTAAAGTTTGTCAATGGTATAATTTTGAGTGTTAGGAATGCTAATAACCTAAAATGAACTGTTATTCGAAAAAAAGAAGAGCAAAAGCTGCATTTCCACATCGAATGTGGCCGGGCGTCGCCCCGCGACCGAAAACCCTAAACCTCAAGTCTCTCCGCACCGGTCGTCATCACGGCTGGTTCGTCAAGAAACCCTTAACCTTAGCTCGCTGATCGCAAACCGCGCAAAAACGCTCATGATCCCTATCGCCGCTTCCAAACCTTTTCAGCTCCTTCTTCAACCCTTTTAATAGATGGCTTGTGGTCGGAAGGCTCTGGCCTCAGGCTACAAATACCTTTCCCGGAGATTCCACCCCTTTTTTATCCACATCGTCCAAGATGACCGTGAGCTCTACGGATCCCCCCAACACACTCCGCTTTCGGCGAGTCCGTTGACACAACGAGCTTCATCCTCCTCGAGACCATTAGGAAGATTCAGATCACCTTCTGGAGATTGGAGGAGGATTGGGTTCTCCCTACCTTTTGGAATCAATCATTCTTCCCGAAATTTTTCGTCCAGCGCCGAGGGATCGAATGAGATCGGTTACATAAACGATGTGGCAGACGTTTTGACGGATGCTGGAGTGGATACTGGCATTGTGGATGCTGCCTCATCAGTCCCCGCTCCATTCCCCGGCGAGGTGGCAGCAGCTGCGGCGGATTCCTTCTTACCCGTTGCGGCACTGCAGCACCTGATAGATGCTGTGCATTCTTTTACTGGCCTAAATTGGTTAGGTTTCATGATTTTATTTGCTATTTTTACATAAAGGGCCGAACTTTTGTTCATTTGCCTGCCAAAATTGTCTGATCTGTTATCGTTCAATATGCGTACATCAGGTGGGCTTCAATTGCCTTGACCACTGTATTGATTCGTGGGGCTACTCTCCCTCTTTTGGTAAATCAGTTGAAGGCTACCATGAAACTAAATGTGAGTTTCTTCTCCATCAGGTTTTGTTTAGAAGAACTTATTGATTTGTGCAACTTTTGGTGCGCCGTGATTCTATCTCCTTCACTTTATTTTTTAACCTAACTTTTTTGCACTTTATTTGAGCCTATGTTTTTTTTTTTCTCGCTCTTCCAATTATTAATGTATTAATTTCCTTATTTCCATTCCTAGACAATGAGGCCTGAGATGGAGAAGCTCAAGGAAGAAATGGATAAAGTATGATTTCTACCCTAAAATTTGGCATATCTGTTAAGTAGATGAGAGTTGTCTTAGAAGCGAGAGATTATTATGTGCCGAATCCGAACCCAGAGAACCGTTCATTTGAACAATAAAATCGTAGGGTGAATAGTAAAAGCGTAGTGGTGAATAGTAACCGCGTTTTTACTATGCCTTCTTACTGTTCATAGTCACAAAACGGTTCTCTGTGTCCGGACTCCGCACGTAATAATCTCTCCTTAGAAGCAACATTTGGTTCTGTCATCACTTTTAAGAACAAAACACTAGAAATTTGGTTATGTACAATATTTTAATGCATTTTTTCTTCCCCATTAACTGACCTTGGAAAACCTGCTGCAGAATATGAATCCAGAGACTCTTCAGGAGAATCAAAAGCGATTGAAGGCACTATTCAAAAAGTATGCTTTTTTTTAAATGTAGTATATCCACATTGACACGTAGATTTTTGTTTGACAACTTTCAAGCTTCTAGCTCTATCTTGATTTCCATTTTGTGCTTGGAGGACCATTTTGATTGTGTTATTTCAATTTTAGTTGTTCTACAAAAATGCTAATCTTACATAGTTTTGTCTTGTTTGAAGGCTACCTTAAATGATGAAGATCAACCTTAAAAATTTTAACCCCTTATAAGATGCATTTCTTCAGAGAATGAGATGACAGACACTGATCTATTAATATTCATTAAAGAGAGAACTTTTTTTTTATGGCGTGATACACTGCTTTTGTATCCCTGCATTTGCATATTGTTATATTACTACTATGGTATGCTAAAGTTGGCTCATTTATGCCTAGTGTTAGTTATCTCACAAGCACAAAATATCAATTCATTATACACTTAGATTGGAATGGCGCTTGGTATTAATTTTTGTTGGTGATCAGTTGCTTATATAGGTATCTGTGTAGGATAGACTTTCCATAATTTGCCTTTTAAGTATACTCACGAGAACACTTGCTCTTTATAGAATCATGCGAGTCAATAAAAAAATGAAGATTTTTTAAATATTGAGCTGTTAGGATTTTAGTTTCAAGTTAGCAATAATTAACTTCTGAACGGATGAAGTAATTGGGGAATCTTGACATCAATAGTAAAAGCATACACTCTCTTCTGTTTGCGTTATAAAATTTATAGAAACAGTTTTAAGCAAGCTGCCTTTTGCCTCTTCAGATTATAATTCCGAAGAACATCAAATTTATGAGATGAATGCTTGGGTAAGCAGTTGGTTTGTTGTAACACTAACCATCAAAATTGTTAGTTACCGATGTCCAAAATCAAATAAACCATAAAGGATTTGGAATTGAGCTTAAATGATTGATTTTTTTCTGCCATGTTTCAATTCAGATTTCAAGCTAAGCTTAAGCCAATTTAAAAAAAAAAAGGTAAAAAAGAGGCAAATATCAAGATGAATAAATATGTGTTTCTGTTTTTTTCTGGTTTGATTTGTTTTATGTTCTTTTCTATTGCTTTTCAGTAATCCCTTGTGTCTATTGACTGTGAGAATCATCATTTTTTTGCTTCCATGATATGAGTGCTAGCTTGAGTTTGAGAACACTATCTAAGGGCATCTCCAACTGAACCGAATTCCATTCGTCTATCGCCTATTTGTAAGCCACAAGTCTCAACCCAAACGCCAAACAAAAACATATTTTGCATTTTCTTTCTGCCGTGAGCATATTGGCTTTGCACTATTCAAAATGCGAAGATGACGTTTTGCCGTTCAGTTGGATGGTCGCAGCTACTGCAAACTGGAGAATGCCGTTCGGTTAGAGATGGCCTAGCCCTGCCAATGCTTTGAGTTTGAAGTTTGTGTGACATTGAGTGCTTCTTGACAACAATTGGTTCTTCTCCAAAAAAAAAGATTATTTTTTTTGCATACTTTTTTTTATTTAGAAATGACATTTGATTGTCTACAAAATGTGTTAGTAGGTCGTCTTGAGATTGATACCATGGTATGTACACAATTACAAAAAAAGAGGTGAACATGCTAATCTAGGTTATTTTGTTCCTAGGTAGACCCTTTGACGGCGAGTGAGCTTGAAGGTGAATTAAAGCTTAAACTTATTTAACAAAAGCTTTCCCTTTGAAATGACAAGTGAGGGCTTGATAGCTTAAAGGAGAGCCATCATCCCTCTTGGGGGAGAAAGTGATAGTTAGAAGTCTTTTCCTTCCTCTGGATGTGGTATTTAATATATTTAGTGGTGAGAGCAAAAGTTAGTTTAATACTCTTGTTGGGATTGATAGTGGACGCGCGCGGGACCGTGCGGGGGGAGGGTATCTCTTCTTTGAGCTCCATGCTAAATGAAATACCCTTAAGTTATGGGTAGTCGCCTAATTGAACGTTATGAAGTAAGATACCTTGTCTTCAAAATTCATGCTGGACCATTTTCTTATTAGAGATGATGGAAGGATGGATGAAGCTCTTAAGCTTTAAGAATTGCGTTGTTGGATATTGAATCATGCTGTAAGATTGGTTTGGATTGGTGTTGGGCGTTATTTTGAGTTTGATATTTGGATTTTGGTTGATGTTTCAAGACCAATGCTGGTCTTTGATGACTTGATTAAATGGGACTTTATGCTCTTTAAGTGTTCAGATTGTGGTGATATAGAAGTATTATTGTTTCATCATGTCTCCATTGATGAAGATTGTAGAGCCACGAATCTTGATGTTATGGTTGGGTGATTCATAGTAATTTGATTATTAAATATTTATAAAAAAATATATCAATTCCCTCCTTGCAACATGCGTCTTCAAAATAGGTCATTTTAGAAGTCTCAAGTCCTTTTGTTTGGGGATTTAGCCTTGATCTTTTTAACCCACCACTCCTTATATATCAAAGTGGACATTCTCTCGGAGTTGGGGATTGATATATTAGGAGTTGAGCTCACGGGTACAATGCTTCTGCACATGATACTTGGGTAATGTGGGAAGCTTATTTTATTGCTGAATTGGGAATGATATTTCATTCTTGCATGAAATATATTGATTGGACTGATTGATTTGTTCAAATTTGCACTAACATAAGTAAGTTCAAGTGGGTTAAGCTTTTTGCCTGAGCGTATGAAGTATGAATGTGGTCCAATGGTTTGTAAGCTAGAGCCCTTAAGCCTAGCATGCTCAAGTCAACAATTGATCATCCCTCCAAATTAAGACAAAGGCTTATAGGCGTCCACAATGTCTCAACCAATGTCATCTTCTACATGAGTTTCAAATTGAAGAAGAATCTTCTCTATGCGATATGGCCTTGACAAGCACCTTGCCCTTATTATATTTCATTGGATGGACATGAGGATGGTTGATTGGCTTGGGTTTGTGTGGCAGGTGGGTTGTTCAGGATGTCCTAAAATGCAGGAAGCGGGGGAGTACTAATTTTGTGCTGTGCAATGATGAGATGAAAAGACCCAAGGACTAGTAAGTGTTTTAACATTGAGGGCTTGTGCTGCACAATGATGAGACAAAAAGGGGCCAAGGAGTCTTGAAAATGTTTTAACTTCAACTTTAGGCTCACCTTTTATTCTGCTGATGGACATTACCCTGAATCCTAAAATAGAAATATTAACCAACACTTAGACAGCTTTAGATTGATGACTTCAAGTTTATCAAGTATTCACTACTCTTGGGAAATAGTTGAGTATTTTTTTCTTGTTGGAAGATGGCTCGGAGGTTGAACACTTTGTGAATATAAGCAAATGGTTAATGATAAAAAAGGAATTGAGAATCAAATTAGATCATATATGCGTGCTGTTGATAAATAATTTGTTCGTAGTAGCTGTTTAGTATATGATAAATTTGTCCAGTTTGATAACAAATTCCTGCAGTAGCAGTTTATATTTTTAGAGTTGCTATAATTACAAGCATTGTTATCATTTGGAAAAGTAATTTCTCTTGCAATTTCTTTATTTCTCTATTTTTCTCTAAAATTGCTGCAGCTTTTATTGTAATTACTCACCTCTATCTCTTTTGTGAATTCATTTGTCGGTTTATCAACTTTTTAAAGTTGACGCAATGTTAACTGGCTTCTTTTTTAACAATTTGTTATTACAGGCATGGGGTCACTCCATTTACACCACTAAAGGGAGTTTTCATTCAAGGCCCAGTTTTTATAAGTTTTTTCATGGCTGTGAGTCCACTGTTTAGGACATGAATTCTATTGTCATCCTATAGTTTGGCTTCTCATATTTTGATCATTCTCAAGTTCTATTCTAGTACTCCTTTTTGCTATTGATGGAATCTGGCTTTGTTTTTGCATAAGCTTTTAGTAATCATAGTATCTTTCAAAATTTATCTTTCTAAAAATTCTGGCAGATCTCAAACATGGTTGAGAAAGTTCCGTCTTTTAAAGGTGGCGGAGCATATTGGTTTACCGATTTGACCACCCCAGATGCCCTGTACATCCTTCCAGTTTTGACCGCTTTGACATTCTTGGCTACTGTAGAGGTAACTCTTTTTTTTTTTTCATTTTTTGCATTCTGTATCCTTAGAAGTTTTCTAAATTAAAGTTCTTGGAGATAAGTGGATCATATAAGTTCTTCATATAATTAGTTGCGATTTCTCACATCCTTCTATTTTCTTTATTTTAGAGTTTTATTTCTTAATCTGCCTTTTTTCTGTAAAGACTGGCATGGAAGCAAGAAATTAATAGGAAGATGAGAATGTCATTAGCTTGTGTACATCCTTTTCTAAATAGGTAGTCATCCAATCATGTGAGCAGCATTTAGATTTGCTGTGATTCTCACGAAAGAAGAGCTGGTATAGCATGGTGCATGGTAACATTGATACATTCTTGATAATTTATTTTATATATATTTTTAGGTACGTCTGTTGTTCTTTAGTAAGTTGAGGGACCGTGTAATGTGCTGACGTTGTTTGCAATATTTGAGGTAGATACATGGTCATTATGCTCTTGGTAGTTTGTGATCATTTATAAGTTTTTTATCTCTTGTGCAGTGTTGTAATTTTTAACATATCCTTGTGTTACAACTTTGTTTGTATTGTTATGTCACGGGAAATGTATATAGAAGTTAATGTTACTCGTAAAAATAACTGCTATAAACAATCCTGATCCTAATTGCTCATTCAATGGTCTAACGTTCAATTCTCAAATCTTGACATTAAGCTTGATTATATTTAACAATTGTATGCATGTGGAGTGCTTATACCATTTAAAGAACAACTTTTACATGTTAATTTATGATTCGTTTTCAGCAATTTATATTTTTATTTTCTTTATAATTATGACCCTCTTTTATGTGCTTCCCCCTCATCGTTTCAGTTGAATATGCAAGAAGGGTTGGAAGGGAATCCAATGGCTAACACCATGAAGAAGTTTTCTAGAGGACTTGGTGTCCTGACTATACCATTTACTGCTAACTTTCCAAAGGTATGTAGCCTTTGTGAATGCTTTTAACATTATGATGGAAAAGAAGATTACTATGCGATCATCTTATGTTCGTAGGGACAACATGCGGTGCTTTGCATAAAATCCATGCGGCCCTTGATATTTTTTAATCTATTTGTAACAAGTTTCGAAGAACACCCATGCGGTGCTTTGCATAAAATCAAGAATCTTGCATATATTTACCTCCATATTGGTTGAATATTTTTCTGTGGTTATGATTGTAAGTGAGGCAGTCTTTTTGATTCATGTATATTAGTTTTATTCCCTATTTTGATTTTTTTTGTAGTGTTTCTCCTCCATCCCTAAAATTGCTCTTATGCGATCTTATTTTTCTCGGTAATTGATATCTAAGCTAGCCATGAGGCCCTAAGGGAAAAGTGGAGCAATGGTTGTTGAGGATGGAAAGGTGAAGATTGACTAGTGGGAAAGACTTTGCTTATTGGAAGATGCAAATTGAGGTATGTTTGAACCCCAATAAATTCTACCAACCCCTTTTGGAGACAAACTTATTACCGTTAATGAATAAGATTAGGATCTCTTAAATAGACACCTGAGGAGTTGTACTCCTAACACTTACTAAGAATGTTGCCTTTAATACACTATATTAGATTATCATAGCTAGGGTGATGAAAGAATTGTTGTCAAGTGTCTAAAAGAAGCCATCAATGATGAAAAAAATAGTTTTAATGAGAAAACTCTTTAATTCATTATATTTGAAGATGCTTCTATAGTAAAAACATATCAATGACTTCAATTTGACCACAAATAAGTTGAGTTCAGTGATGTCAACTTTGATAATGAAAATTTTTCCTTGAGTATTTGTCATCAGTTTCAATTAGTTGGGGTGGAGCTTTTTTTTTTAAATTATTTTTTAATTATTAATTTTAATTATTATTATTATTATTATTTGGGGTGGAGCTATAATGGTGGCAAGTAGTTTTAATGATATTTGCGGTCTAGGCATAAGTCATTCTAATATGGAAATATAGTGAAGGTTCTTCTTCTTCTAATCTAAATGTGGATAGCTTCAAGAAAGGGTAATAATGGAGAGATTTAAATCTAAATGAAGGCAACACAATAATCGAAAGACAAGTCGGTGTCGGATTGGTGTATATTGTAAATGCGGTAAGATCAAGCATATGAAAAAAAAGATTGTCTACAGAAGATACATTGACAATTTTGAATTAGAAAGAAGAGTCAATGAATGCAATCCTAAGAGAGATTCATATGTACTAATTCTCATTGTGAATACTATTAGGGAATACTGAATGCTAGAATAAGGCATGCCTAATTATTTGATGATTTATCCAAAGTTTACCTTGTTGATTATGAGACTGAGTATTGTGAGTGTTAGTTATGTTCTAATCAAAATTAGTAATGAGATTTAGAGGCTTCATAAGGCTTGAAGAAACCTGATTTGTATTAGACAACTTGATGAAGAGGAATATAAATTAACCTTTAGTACTAGCTTTTAGAAGATTATGTAGGCAGAGCCGGTCTATTGGTGTTCCCTATGCTGATTTTAATTCCCAAAAGGTGGGTTGTTGGTTTCCCTAACAGATTTCAATTTCCTTGCTTATTAAATTCTATTTTGATGCTTCGTTTTTCCTCTTGATGCTTCGGTTGTCCCCTCATGATAGCTGCCCTTTCAGTTTCCCCCTTTACAACCATGAGATGCTTCGTTTTTCCCACCCTTGGCAGTTGAAATGATGCTTCAGTTTTTCCTTGGCGTCTGTCCCTTTGGTCCCTGTTTGCTGCAGTTATCTAGGTGTTCCTATTGGCTATTTGGGAGGTACATTAACTACATGTATTAATTATTATTTTCCTTTTTTCCCCTATAAATGGGGTTGTTTGTGGCAGTTTTAGAAGGATGGATGTGTGATGATTTTTGGAATGTAAAACATGCGGGTTTGTTCTAGCTTGCGAGCTAGCCTCCTTTTCCCTTCCCTTCTACTATTTCGTCTCAATGTTATACCGCTTTGTCTCTATCCACGGTTCCCGCCCCATCTGTATCTTTCTTCTCTTAATTAATATAAGTTGTAAGGTGTTGTGGTATAGTATTGTTATATTATGTATGTGTTTGTCTATGTTTATGGTAAGGAACACTTCTAGTTTGCAATCCTAATGTAATTTTTTTTTGTTGCACCAATTTTGTATCAGAGACTAGGTCATGTGAGTTTTCCTTCCTTTTTAGAATTAAAAAATAAAAAATAAAAAATGGATAGTCCAATCAATAAAAAAAGCTGAAGTTTCTAGTAAGTCTCAAGATGAAATATAATCTGTAGGTAATGAAAGTCAACCAACTATTCCAGAAGAGAAAATTCTAACAACAAGTTGGTTTTTGGCCACAAGGATGTTCTATCGATCAACTTCAGAACGAGCTTTACAAAATTCAAGAGAAAATATATTTATATGCAAAAAAACATGAAAATAGGAACTGTCAACTTCAAGCAGAGTTTAAGCGAGAAAAAAGAGAAGATCCAAAGGAAGTACGCTGCTTTAATACTGGATTTAGATAAGGCGTAATCTGCTTATGATAGAAGTTTAGAAACTATCTCATCAGGAGCTGCTTGTTATCTAGGGGCTCAGGGGGCGTGAGATGAGACTAAAAAATCCCCTTTTTCTTGTGGCTGGAGTTGTAAGGGAGTGAACTGTGTATATCTCTCACTTTAACAACCCCCTAGCTTAAACCCATGAAATAGCATGAGTGGAGGGGTGAAACCCTTTCATCCAATGTCTCAGATGACATCTCATGATGCCTTAGATCTAAGGGCTAAAATTAAGTACTGTGGTTGATGAATTTTAGCCATTAGATATAGGGATTTCTTGATTTGACATGATATGAAAAGATATGAGGTAAAGCAATTTTATCTGTAAATTCAATCTAGAATTTATTTAAATAGGTATTAATTTAATATAAACATGTATATTTTGTATTCTAATTTTAATTTGATAAATTATACTTATTTAATTTTAAATTAACAAAGTTTAATTATATTTATTTAATTTTAAATTAACAAAATAAAATTCTCTTTTTATTCTATTTTTAAAATAATAATAGTAATAACAATATCTACATCTCTCTCCTGGACACACATCAAATGATACCCAATTAAAGTACGCATGGACTTATTTGAAAGATCTTGATGATCCAGACACGCTTATGTAATCCGTTTTGCAAAACGAGGCCCGGATCAAAAGATTTTATTCGCGGAATGCATATGCGTATGAAAGATTCAAATGCGTGTAAAAGACACACCGGATCAACGTCGACCCGATTACACATATTTTCAAACATAATAACGGGCAATATGTGATCAAAATGAATAAATTCCAAAGCCAGCGATGAATTGAGATAAAATTGCACGATTTGACCTTTCACCAGACACAACGGCGCAATATGCAGGAAAGTATATCGAACTACGAAACATGCAATGAACTTGTGCAAGGGATTGATGCCAAAAGGGAGGTCAATACTACTCAAATGGCGCCTTCCCCTTCTTGATGTAGATCAAGAAGCATGACAAATGGTACTATCATTGCACTGACATAAATCCTCCGCAAAATGCTTCATGGTTCTTCTTTCCTTCATCTACACGGTGCAACCCATCGAGATTCCTTTCAACAGCTTCCTGCAGTCCTGCAGTCCTGCATTTCACCAGTTTCCTGCACTCCGTTTTCTGCAGTCCGCTAACTCCTGCAGTCTGCCATCCTCAAGAAGGTTGTTCCAGCCCTCTTTTTTGTTGTTTTCTTCAGCAAACAGCCCTCTTCTTGCTGTTTTATTTAGCAAACCATCCGCAAGAAAGCTGTTTAAACCCTCTTTTGCTGTTTTCTTCAGCAAATCAGCCGCAAGGAGCCTGTTCCAGCCCTCTTCTTGCTGTTTTTTCAGCAAACCAGCCTTCCAAATCCTTTGTCTTCAGTTTCCTGCAGCATCCTTGCCGCCACTCTTGTGCATTCAACAGCAGGAATCCGATTTCGCTCAGCCATCAAGACCTGCTGTTCACAAGAACAGCCAACCCTTCCTCCAATTGCTCTCTCCACTACCTTCTATTGGAAGAACTGGCCTCCAGCTTCTTTCATACCTGCAATTTTACAAGCAACCGTTCTGCTGGACCAACCGGCACCTTGCAGCTTAAGAAAAATAATAATAAAAAAAAACTATAGCTGGCATGTCAGCCATCCCTCGGACAGCCTACATTCAGCAAACAAGCGGTCATCCACACTTCGTCTTCTTTTTTCAAGATTCCATTAGGTTGTCCGTTTTCTTGTCTTTATTGCTATTTTTTTTATTCTACTGGGTTTTTCTTTTTATTACATGTACCAAATATTGTTATAAAGATTTGCATCTTTCAAAAATTTCATTATTTATAAACACTAATCAACATGAAGAATGCTAATTTGGCTGAAGATTTATGTTCAATGCAAATTAATCAGGACTCGCAAGTTGCTCGAAACCCAAAAAACTCTCCATCAAGTTGATGTTCAATTTCTTCCAATTGCTCAACCCTTCAACAAACCCATTCTGTCATGGATTCCATTTACAAAAAATTTGATAGTTTGTGTATTGATTATCCACATCATCCACTCCATCAAGATACTTCCTCTTCCGCCGGCATCTTTAGTTTTGCTGGCCGAATCCCTTCTCCAAAACAGCTACCTTCTTTGATGATTTTTTTTCTTACACATAATATGCCATTATCTAATTCTACCTTACTCAAACAATCTCAATATTTGTTTCAGCTATCACAAGGTTTACCTTAATCTCGTACCATTGACCATCGTATGCATCTTTTCTCCTTATCTCAACTAGTTAACATCGGTCCTTATAATTCTCTGCGTTTGTATAAGGTTGTTATGATGCTACGGGACAATTAGTTTTTGAAATGCTTCACCCCGACATTATTTTTCATATTCTCATCTCTATTTTTCTTTTTCAATATTGTTTGTTCAAAAACAGGATGGTACTTGGTATTTTTGCATTAATTCTAGAACCTTTAATATACTCAAAATTAAAGATAAGTTTTTTATTCTAATTGTACATGAATTTTTAGATAAATTATATAATTTTTTTAAACTTATTTTCACCCTGCGTCTCAGCAAGTTATAGATTACATTTACATCCTAAAAATTTTCATGAAACTATTCATGATGGTCACTATGAATTTCTCCTTATATCTTTTTCTTCTACCTTTTTATAATTAACAGTTAAATTTTGTTGAAATGGAAATTTAATTACCGGATGATGCTACATGAAATTTTTTTGCAATCCTCTCTTCATCTTTTTCTTCTTTCAACTTTGAGGACAATGTTATTTTCTAAGGCTAGAGGGGTGTTAGACATCAACATATTCTATTGGATCATAAAATTATACAATCAAACTGTGAAGAATGAGCTACAAACACAACATACCAACCAACTTCTATGAATGTTTACCATAGAAGATGAAGAACTTTAAGACATTCAATATTGATAACATAAAGTTTAAGCAATTGATCTACAAGTATGTGATAAGCACCAGTTAATTTTTATTTTATTTTTAGTTGAGGTTAATCGGTTCTATTTATTCTATTTTTAGTTTGTTCTATGTAGAGTTGTAGACCATGTCAATCTTGTAGACTTGGTCAATCCAAGTAGTATAAATATCTCTCCTATTGTAATGAAAGACTTATGTATTTCTGGTTTCTCCCTCTCGTCTCTCTTATTCCTCTTCTTCTTCCTTAAGGAGTCCACACCTATTCAAAATGTGCTTCCCCTTCTTGATGTAGATCAAGGAGCATAACATGGAAACTGTTGAACAACAAAAACGAGGAAGTGGGGATGTGAGTTTAGTGCAACAAGAGCACCATTTGTTCTTGATATTTTTGCAATTCTTATAGTTGTTTGGAGATTCTAGCATACAGAATTTTGAAAACTGTAGAATTCATGGTGGAATGCAAGGCTGAAGGCAGATTTAGTTCAAGATTCTTGGTGATCCAATTTGTTATGTTGAGTTTAAGTCTATACTTCTTGCTGATCCAAGAAGCTTAGTTGTAAACTCCCAAGAGAAATAAAAGAACTAAAGAGAGAGAGAGAGAGAAAATAAAAAATTATTCATTCGATAGTAAGCCTTTATTATTAGAGAGGTATTTATAATACTTAGGTAGACCAACATGTTACTAAAGAATCGGTCTTTCTAAAACAAGTAAAAGAAAGACTAGATTAATGTTTTATTACATATGTGGACTCATTCATCATATATGTATTCAAAATTATGTTGTTGTCTTTTGTGAGTTGTGAAATGTGTTTGTTCCTTCTTTTTTGGTTGGCTTTCATAGTTGTTGATTGTCCCACCTTATTTGTAGCCCATGCTTCGCATCTGGATTGTACAACTTTTGGATCCCATATAATATGTTGATATCTAACACACTTTCATTTTCTTAAAGACACTGTCATTTGAAATTAATGAGGATATAACAGATTTGGGCAAAGTTTTTTATGGTTCAATAGTTGGTTCGTTACTGTGTGCTATTGTACTAAAACTTGGTATACCTGCAGTGAAAATTGTAACTTTATGTCAAATACTAAAGGCTCATTGGGAGACACAAAAGTGGATTTTAGAGTGCTTGAAATGCAAGCGTGACACAAAACTACATTGTTTTATTAGTGCTAATTTGGGTGGTGATTTGGATACTCAAAGTAGAATAGCATGCATCTATATCTAAACGTTGAGTGATATTGCTATCAATTGGATATTTTGATTATAGAATATAGTGAATTTATTAATAATAGATGTATAGTATGTCATAGATAGGATAAAAAAGAAATGGTTTAGCTAAGGAATTTTTTGAAAGAATTAGGAAGAGAATATGAATTGATGATAATCTTTTTTATTTAGATGGTCAAAGTGTTATACATCTTACTAAGATTGATTCTTTTCATTATAAGACAACATATTTAGCTAATGGATAAAAAAACCTAACACTCTTAAAAAGACAATCACCCTTGACACAGTCTTTGCAAAGCCTCACTTAACATCCATTAGTAACTGAGGATTGCTGCATAATCTTCAACACCATACATTACAAATTTGGACTTCTAATTAGAAGATTGTTAATATATAGAACCTATTTTTCTTTAGTAAAGAAAGATTTGAATTGAAAAAGTAGATTTTGGATAATTATATTAATTGCTCTTGGATGAATTTATGTTCAAATATTTGCTAGAAGAGTGTTGCTGGTATGAAGTTGATTTGTTATTAAAATCTAAACAAATTTAATCGGATTTTATTAAATATAGATTTCATTTATGTATGTGTATATATATATGATTTTGGCCATCATTGTGCCTTGAAGGCAGCAACTTCCTTATGGTTGTTGTAGACAGGAGGAGGATGTCAGACATATTGGTAGTTAGTAGTTTTCAAAGAAGCTTTTTGGGTTGTTTTTATTGTGATATAAAGGGTATTGGTTTTTTCTTGGTTTAAGAACATAAGGAAAAGAAACAGAACAAGAATGATTGCATAATGTGCTCATCTCCAGCTATTAAACTGTCTTTCTGTGTGATTGTGGATATGGATGAGACAATCATGTCAATTCACATCAAATTTATCTCCCCCTGATTTGATTTTCTGCAATATTTCGTTTTGTTCTCAAAATTGGTCTCATATTGACTTTTTTCCCAATAGTTCAGAAGTTTTTGGGTTGATGATTGCTGAAGTAAATGAAGGATTGACTATAACTAAGAAAGAGACGATCGTTGCAATAAGAGGTGGTAGATTCTTGTGGGGAGTTGCAATCTTATCATGAGTTATTTTAGAAAATAACAGTCGAATGTTTTCTCATATATGATGCCAAACTATCACATGCCAAAAGTAATCTTCAATTTTGACACGCTTTGGGTGTAGTAAAGTTGATAGTATGCCTATAACACAATCAATTGAAATGAAAAAAGTTGGCTAGCCATCTAATGGATTTTGTCCTCTGAAGACCTTTTTACTCTCAAGTTTATGATTTTACTTCAACGCGAATAAGAGCTTAAGATCAATTCCATCAGTTTCGTTGGGATAAAAAGAGTGAACATGATAGAGTGAGAATGATCTTTATGTTGCCCTCTTGCGGAGTTAATTATAGAGGTTAGAATAAATAACATTTTAGTATTTTGACATAGCGTGTGATTGGTTGGTCGAAATGAATCTCAACAAAATCGAGCAATGTAGGAATTAGAAGGACCATTATCCTGACTGAACTTTCTTCTACGATCATATGATTATGAATCTGAACATCTATGATCCGACGGTTGTAATTAATTGAAAACTTTTTTATTAGGGCTATATCAATAATGAAGATAACATGAGAAACTAAGAGAAATATCAGTAATAATTCATAAAATATCTAGAGCTTTATATGACTATTAGATTTTCAAGCAAAGAAGTTTTGATTTTAGTGTAGGCAACTTTACTAAAACGCCAAATGGATATTGTATTTCAACGTAGTTTCAAAAGATTTTTTTATATCTATTTTTCTAGTAAACCCATGGACCCATGGCATGCAATCTCATGAGCTGTGAGTACTACGACAATTAGACTTCCAAACTCATGCCCCTTGATTGGAATAATTATTAGGTGCGGAGTGCAGACGGGGAGAGCACCGTCTGCACAGACACAAGGTACCAAGCGGTACCTAGTGGTACCCAACGGTACCGAACGATACCTAGCTGGATTTTATACTAGTGTGCAGACGGTTCTCCCCGTCTGCACTCCGCACCTAATAATCTCTCCCTTGATTGAGGCCTCCTTTGTTTTAGCGTTTTTTTTTTCTGTTTAGAAAAGTCAGAATTATTTTTTGGTCGCTGTTTGGATGGGACGCTTTCTATAGAAATGCTTTTTAGGGAACTTCATCTTTCTATTATTTTGAGAAGCTTTTTGATATTTACTTTTCCGTTAGAAAAACTCCTTTCTCTTAATCACTGTTTCTAAAACTATCTTTTACGAAAATAAAGGAAGAATCAAATGAAGCCTGAATTCCAATGAGTGCTGTAATACTTTGACATGTTGATTTGGAAATTAGAGTTGCGCTATGTTGCCAAGACAACTGATAAGTGTTTGATTTTGACCAATATCATGGATGCTCTTACTATACTGGGGCAATTTTTTTATTTTTTTATTTTCTGTACCTGTTACTTATTTTTCTTTTAATCTTTTTTTTTTTCAGGCTATATTCTGTTATTGGGTGACATCGAACCTTTTCTCCCTTGTGTATGGATTTGGTAATTTATTCATTCCTTGTTCCAAAATTTTAATTGATTATCTTAGCATTAAAATAAATTCAATAATTTTGAACTTACGATAACTATAATATGATTAGGACATTCTGACCAAAATTTTCTCCATTATCTGTCCCTTTTGCATCTCCTCACATGTGATGATTAATTGTTATTTTAACTACAATACAGCACTCAAACGCCCTCCCATAAGGAAGTTCCTTAATCTTCCTGATGCGACTCAGATTAAGCCTAATCCGTCAGCACAGCCGAGCTTCTCCTTCTTCGGCGGATCGAAAGCAGCTCTTCCCATGGCATCTTCAATACAGGAGAAGGGGTCTGAGCAAACTAAATCTGCAGAGCGAAGGGTTTCTTCATCAACAGTTATCAACCACCGCATTAGAAATCTGGAGAAGACAGTAAAATCCCGAAATAGGCTCAACAAGAAAAGGTGAGTTTTGTAGAATCATGACTGTCTTATTCTTATATTTTTAAGAACAATATTATTTTCTTTTAGGCTTTGGTTTTAAATACAAATAAAATGAGCTGTGTAATGTAATCACCTGCTCTGTGGGTTTATTTTTTGGCGAATTTGCTTTCAATGCCCTGCTGCTTTAATGTAATAGATAGCATTTTTTTGTACACGCCATGATGATTCCTGCGATGGGGTATTTGTATTAACGGTTGTCTTTCTTAAGTGGACGAATTGCTGTTTTATAGAGGTTTTTTTACTTCCATAAACAGGGAATCGAGTAATTTCTCATCTAAAGTTTTTGCAAAATTAGAACTAATCCAAATTTGATTATTACGGTTTTTACCATTTAAAATATGATATTAATGAAATATAAATGTTAATTGATTAATTATACATTTTAGATTGAATTTAGTTAATTTCAATCTTTAAAATGATTTTCTTTGCAAATGTGCTAACTTATTAACTTCTTGATGTCATTTTGAGGAAAAATTATTACATGTGAGATCTGGATGCATCCGGAGGTCAATCCGAACGTACAATGTCACCTAAAATGCAGTGTATTGAATAATATGATGCATTCAGATTGACCTCCAAACATGTTCGGACACTGCACATAATAATCTCTTCATTTTGAGAGCATTAAAACTGCGGTCAAAATTTCTTAGTTCCTATAGAGTAGTTTCAGAAGTATCTCATGTTTACATCTTCATCTTGCCCAATCAAACAGAGAACTTGAGCTTTTTGGTTGTATCTCATTCAAGCAAATTTTTTATAATATTTTAAAAGCATTTATTTTAACGCAAAACTGAAAAAAGATATTCATCTAAACGAAGTTATTTTCCTGGTTATTATTTTATCATAAAGGTTTGAAAAAAAAGCCTCAAACGGGAGCCAAAATGTCAAGTATAATGTACTCATGTACTGACCATTCACTATCATATTTCAGACTTTTGGCCCACTAAGCAACCAGCTTGCTTTAAAGCATAGAACTATTCTATGCGCTATAAATTCAAAGATAGCCAGCTAAAAAAAAAAAAAACTTAGATAATCTAGCCACCAATTATATTCTATAAAAAGAACCATCATTCTCCATGGCAGAACCACGAATCCAAGTTCAAATGAACAAGTCACCATACCCAATTCATCACAGAACATACAAATGATTTAAGACATATAGCTGCTTTCTGTTGAACAACAAGAAGTTAACCATATACAGAAACCATACCCAATGATACTAACAAAGAGCTCAACCATAGCTCCTCACCAGTCTCAGACTGACAAGTCGGCAAGCCGGCATTGTTAACCTGGAACTGATTTCCCAGCGTGAAGAGGCTTAAAAAACCAGGGAGAGAGAAGAAAAAAAAAATTATGTAACTGAGGTTCAAGCATTTATCTCAGCATTGCACTGGTGTTCTCTGTGGCAACTTCTTCTGCTCCAAAATATCCCAGAACAGCTACTTCTCTCAAGCCTTCGATCATCAAATTTATCGGATTCGCTCACCAAGCTCTGCGAGCGATGAGGAGATTGTCCATGCGTGCTCTCATCTTGCAGTTCAAGAGCTGGGCACGGGCCATCGTCACAATAACAGGTAGGGATGGCAACAGAAGGGAATGGAGCGCAAGTGAGCGGGCACATTAGGTCTGAAGCCATTTCACGGTTCTTACAGAACTCGGATCTACAAGGCGTTGCAGGTGGCTCCATGGCTCGAGAATGGAGAATGCAAGGGTTGCAGAAACTGAGAGATGGTGTTGATTTGAGCTCCTTTGTTTGGTTACTGTGCCGTCTAGTGAAAGAGACTATCCCACTACGGCAAAGAGGACATGGAATTGTTCCAGGAGGGCCTAAAGTTTCTGACGTGTAGTTGCTGGTTGAGCAAAGGTAGAGAGCACACTTGACACAGAACTCATGTGCGCAACCTGAAAAGTTTGAATAGTTGAAATGGTGAATGTGAAACTACCAGGTGCACAGCACTTATTCTTTCCTCTTTTTTTTTTCCCGGTGTTTTTCTTTATATAACCTTTACGATTCAACTATTTGGACATTGCAGGATTGCTAAAAATAGAGTAGTACAGAGTTCTAAGTGTATATAAAAGATATCTATAAGAATTAGCCTTGTAAGCAGTGATATTGGTAACTCTAAGAAGGTAGTAGGGTAGACTAGCTGGGTTAGATCAATCTAGATCGAGATGGTTAGTTTGATTTTTCAAATCCACCTGCCTAGCTAAATACTAACAAATGCTTAGATGGTGCATCTTGAGTATCTAGCTCTTTACTAACGCATCATAGGCTTTCCAGGATACAAAAATATATGATGCACAGAGAAATTACCACCACAAATCAATTTCCTCCTGTCATGAACTCTCTTTTCTAAGGCAATAGGCTTGCGAACTAGCTCAAAAAAGTATTTATAATAGGCAAAACAAGCTCCAAGCCTACGAACATAGATGATGCAAATATGGTTCAAAGATGGGAAAATGATGACTAAGAAGACTGATGAATTCGTATCCTGGAATAATCTAACTAAAAGAGCCTTTTTCCTGATTTCAACAATTCAGGTATGCTCTGCCTATTGGAAATTTCTTAACAAAAAACAAATAACCATTCGAAGACAGAAGATTGTTATTAAATCTGCTTGATCAATCAGCCAAAAGTTCCTCAATAGTAGCAAAAAAAGATAAACACATCTGAGATATCAGACCGCAAAAGACTAACCTTCAGCAACTACATTGCAGGATCTTTCTAGGCAAACTGGACAGAGATCAGCATCATCACAAACGATCAAGGATTGCAAACCCCACTCTCTGTAGAGACAGATACTGGTTATCCTTAGATGCGCTATCAACATGAAGGATTGCAAATATGTACTAAAATAATAATAATGTTTTAGAATATTGCTTCTACTGTAGTAAGGAAGACCAGATGCTAGTAAGATACTGTCAGTGACATTTTATATCATCATAAGAGGCTAGTCAAATCAAGTGCAATAAAGGTAATTTGATAAATCAGGAATAAGCCAGTCCCACATAAAATAAAGCTAATGAATAAATAGAGGGTCACAACATTATTGTCTGAAATTTGTGAGTGTAGATTGACGGCGTCACATGAAGTGGGAGGAGAAAAGTTTTAACTTTTAAGAATGAATTGAGTGATGTATAACTCATACAAAAAGAACGATAAATTAAAGCTGAATTTATAAAACTTTATAAGCGAGCAAAGCATATTTATGCAGTCAAGACATTTTAGTAAACTATGATAACAAAGTACAACTATTAAATATTTCACAAATACTAAAGAATAGAACCTCGTGATGGGTAAATAGCCATCAGGCCATCACCCATGCACAAACAGTTACAAGGACCTGGTAGACCTTAAAACTAGAATTAACACCACGGCTGGACCGGACGCCTCTACTAAACTGCTTTTCTAGTTGGAACAAAGGCTTTCAGCGAACAAAAGCTGTTAGCAACTTGTTTGTACAATGTTTTGTCTTAGAATCCATGACTGAGTATTTAATTTGGTAGCTTTTTATGTGGTTCAATATTCTCACTGAACTTAAACTGAGCCATAAATGGCTTTTGCAATTGGCATTGAACTAAATATTAAATCAATACGATAGGCAACTTATCTAAAACTTTCAGTGTATATTTTGCATTTATTAACCCTTAATTACATTTATTATCTCATTTATTTTCTTCTTGTTGTATTCATCTTGTACACTTATAAATGAGCATCATTATTTAGTGAATAAAATAATTCAATTTTCATACCAAAACATGATATCAAAGCCTCTCCTATAAGAATTCTTGGCCCACCCGTATTAATCCCTAGCCTGCCTATGACTAGCGAGTTTTACTCACTAAAATGCTATTATTCCAAGTAAAAATAGACAATATTTGATAATATCTATGACAATTTAATTAATATTTTAAATACAGATAAAGAAGCAAACACATTGGAACAAAAAATAGCAAGGAAGAATGCAAAAAATGAGAGAAAATAAAGTTAAAATAAATGATGGAAAAACTCAATATTTTTCCTACAAAACCTAGGCACAACATTATTCAACAGTCAACACTGCACTATCATGCTCTAACTTCCAAGCACTCATTTTCATAATTTTTTACCAAGCAACTACTGTAAGGATGCAGGAGCGCCTAGCCACTGTTACCAAAAAAAAAAAAAACTACAAGGCATTGCTAGTTTCTTAGAAATATGAGTAACATTCAAACATAATAAGTGTTGGACGATGCAAAAAAACTTAATTTTTTTCATTTACTTTAAAAGACAAAAAGTGGTTGAATTCACTATCTCAATGATTTATAACTTGGAATGAACTTGCACAAAAATTTTTGACTAAGTATTTTTCTCAAGCTAAGACTATTAAGTTAAAAATTGATATAACTTCATTTACTCAGTTGAAAAATGAATCAATTTATGAGGCTTGAGAGATATATATGGAAATGTCACATCATATCTTACCCAATTGGTTAATAGTTTAAACTTTTACAACAGGCTAATTGGAACATTAAAGATAATAATAGAAGCTACAGCAAGGGGATCATTGATGACTACATCATTTGAAGAGATCTATGCATTGATAGAGGTAATAATTACCAATAATTTTTAATGGCCATCTAAAAGAGTAAATTCCAAGAAAATAACAAGTGGGCATGAAAATGAAATTTTGTTTATACTAAGTTCACAAGTGATTGTACTATCTAAGAAATTGGAGAGTAAATGCAATAATTACATAGTCAATCAAATGATTTGTGATAATTGTGGTGCTTTTCACTTAGGTGAACATTATCTTAAAAATAGGAATCCATAAACTAAGTTGCACGCATACAAAACAATTTTTACTTAAACAATTATAATCTTGATTTGAGAAATCACCTAATTTTTTAGGAATAATAATCCAACTATTGAGATAACTAATTAGAATAAATAAAAAATTATATTAATCAGAATAATAATGTTTAAAACTCTAGACTTAATCTTTCACCAATATACCTCCTCAATTCCAATCAAAAGAAAAAAAAAGCCCTTAAAAGAACTGAGAAAGAAAGATAATAATCTAAATGAATAGAAACAAGGTATAGATGAAGATGTTGATGAAAAGAATGAAAAATTGAAAGTAGAAAAACAATCTAATAATGAGAAAAACAATCAGACAAGTGATAAATCTCCTCCATCATTCTTCAAATGTTACACGAGCATAAATTATATAAACAACTCTCTAAGATTTTGAAAATATTCAAGAAATTAACAATGAACATTTCATTTGCTGAAACCAAGGTTTGAAATTGCAAAATCATATATTGAGGTATTTTCTTATGATAAGGCGAGGCAAAAGCCTCAATATTAAATTACAACAATAACAACAACAACAAGCCTTTATCCCACTGTGGGTCGGTTACATGAATTATTTTTTCTCCATTGTGTCATGTTAGGAGTCAAATTTTCATTTAAATTTAATAAAGAAATGTTATTTCTAATATTTTCTAACCAAATTTTTTTAGGTTACCTCTACCTCTTAACATAGGACAAATATAATACATCTACTCTCCAAACAGAGTCATCGAAAGGCCGCTGTTTTACATGACCAAACCATATAAGGAGACTCTCTCTAATCTTATCTATCACTGGAGCTACTCCAACCTTTTCATGGATATGGTCGTTTCATATCCTATCTATAAGAGTAAATCCATTCATCAACCTGAGCATCCTCATCTCAATAAGACTTAACTTAATTTTATGCTTCTCTTTTAATGGCCAACATTCTACGCCATAAAGCATTGCAAGTCTCACCACCATCTTATAAAATTTTCCCTTAAGTTTGAGTGGTACTTTCCTATCGCACAACAAACCCGAAGCATTCCCCCACTTCAACCATCCAACTTCAATTCTACTAATAATATCCCCATCTATTTCACCATCGTTCTGAACAATAGACCCAAGATATCTAAAACGAGTATAATTATTAATGACTTGATCACTCAAAGTTACAAACCCACCACTAGATCTATTACTACTAAAATTACACTCCATGTATTCAATTTTGGATCTACTCAAACGAAAATATTTAGACTCTAAGGTTGACCTCCATAATTCGAGTTTACCTTCAACTCTCTCAGGTTTTATCAACAAGAAGAATATCATCAGCAAAAAGTATACACCAAAGCACATCCTCTTGCAAATGTCTAGTGAAAACATCCATGACTAAAGCTAAAAGATAAGGGCTTAAGGCTGATCCTTAATGTAATCCAACTAAAATAGGAACATATTATATCAAAGTAAGATAATGACGTAAAATCATAAAAAGTCAAAGGCCATTAAAAATCATACACGATTACAAACAACGTTAAATAAATAGTCCCTCCAACTCCCAGTTCAACATAAATAAGTAATCTAAAGTCATAATTGATAAATTCAAAAGCTTCTCTACTCTCATCATTCGGAGAGTATTCATTAGAATCATTATTATAATTAATTTCTTTTACTCTTTCTCATAATAAAAAATAGAAAAATTGGTTTCAATAAAAGGAGATGAGATGGATGAGAAGCAGCGATAGTGTAACAACAACATTGGCGCCACAATAATGATAATGCAAGAAATTAGAGTGTAGGTGTTAAGGACTTTTGAATATGATTTTGAAGCTGTGTGGTTTTTCTAAATTTTGTTTAGATTTAGGTATAGTAATTAAGTTTAATTTAATATATAAAGTAAATTAAATTTTAAAATAACCTAAAATTAATTTTTGAAGCTTCTGCCTCTTCAAAATTGAGCTAAAATTATGTTGAAGAGAACCATGCAACACTCTTCATCCCTACTGAAGCATAAACCTCATACGGCAAGCGTAAGGTGTACGCCTTATTACTTTTTTTGTACGCCTTATTAGTTTTTGTCTTTTTTTAATTGCGTTGAGGTGAGCATTTAATTGCGTAATTTTATAACATGGCTGAAATAATAGAATAGATGCCTAGTCATGCTAATTTTATAAAGATTATTTTATCCACAAGACAAAAACTAAAAAAAATTAAAACAATAGCTCTCAGTGGTGAATGTCATACAATTATCCAAAGAAAATTTTCACAAAAATTTGAAGGATCTAATCAATATTACAATTTCATATTACTATTAATGATAAATTCTTAGGTAAAGCATTATGTTAGAAGCAAGTATCAATTTAATGTCATTGGCTATTTTTAAGAGGTTACAATTAGAAAAAGTAAAACGGGTATCTGTAACTCTACAACTAGTTGATAGATCATGGACTTATCTTTGGGAATTTATTGAAGATGTGCATATAAAGGTAGATAAACTTATTTTTCCTATAGACTTATAGTATAAGATATAGAATAAGATAAATATATTCCCATCATGCTAGGAAGACCATTTTTCACAACTTGGAAAGCCCTTATTGATATTCAAAAAGAAGGGTTATTTCTTAGAGTACAAGATACGAAGTGATATTCAAAGTACATAATGTTATTGAGTACCCACAAGAGAATAAGAGCTATTCCTGCATTCACGCCTCATATTCTAAATGCCTTGGCCATTATACACAACAAGTGGAAGCATGCATGGTCAATTCTGAATGAGTGATTATGCAATAGTAGTAATTTTAGGGAATTCTAAGAAGGCCAATATTCTACTTGATAAGATGTAGATAAAGAAAAATTAAGTTATACGAAGAATATAAACAAATGCTTTTTAAGAGACAACCCAACTGTTATGTAGATCATCTTATTATTTATATAAACTTTAATATTTTTTGCGTGTGAAGAAATATCAGGCTAC